TATTCAGTATATTTCCAGACAAACAAAAGTAGTGATTTAAAAGTATCATTTAAAATGTAAAATGAACAGTAAGAAGTTATAAATTTATTTAAAACCTCTTCCCTTACTAACATTTTCTAAGCATAAAATCTAGAGAAACATCATTTGCGTATACTTTTTTTACAAAAGGTAGTAAATGTTAAATAGAAAGATAAAAACTAGTATTATTAATAGCTGTCGCACCATTTCTAAATAAGACACTTTAAAATAGCTATTTTTTGAAGCAGTAGTAGGTAAAGTGAAGAAGATGTTAGCACAGTGAATTCATCCAACACTAATGCTTTCCTAAACGATACTTTCATCTTTCAGCATATCCCTTCAAAATATAACTGGAAAGCCCAAACATAACACAAGTATCAGAATGAAATATTAGGATTTGGGTAGAAGTTATTTTAGCAAATGCCAAACTTTTAAAAAAATTATTTTAATAAGTAGGTACCTTTTTTAAAGGATGTGTGCAGAAAAGGAAGCAAAGAGAACATGCAATCCAGAGCAGCATTTCCAAAGTTTAAGAATCTACTAATTTTGGTTTTTTAATTTTTCCCTTCCTCCCTTCACCCCCCCTCCAAATGGCCAACCATTCTGAGCTGGCTTGCACTCAGTGAAACCCCACTGATTTGGCTCGCTGTAGAAAAGCATTTACACTGGCTAATTTTGACTTCTTTTTTTTCCTCCTCTCTCCATGAATTTCAAGTCTCTGTAAGATCCATGACATGTTTGTGCATTGAGCAGTGTCACAATCGAAATTAAAAGTGTTCTTAACTACTGCTCCATTTCTGCTTAGCAAATAAATCTTTCCCCTCTCCTGCAAATGGACAGACAAAACACTGGCACCATGCTTCACTCACAGAGCAGAGAAAGCGTCACCCAGCACTGACTCAGCACAAATGCCTCTATGAAAAGTGCCCTTTCTGAGCTACAGCTTACATTCCTTGAGGCTGGCTGGTGGAGATCCTGGGGCTGGTGGGAAGTCAACTGGCAGATGCCCAAAGACTTCCCTGAAGCTTTAACTGAGGTCTGCAGCATCCAGGTTTACAGTACATACTGGCACAGGTGGTCCCTTGCTAGGTTACATGCAAGCATTGTTTTTGAGGTGTAAAAATATGAAAAGCTTGCAGTGCTAAAGACAGGGCATGGCCAAGTGCCTAGTACACAAATTGTACCACCTCTGCCAAGCCAACCTACTTTGAAGAAGCTTCCTGCTCTGACAGCTGGAGAAGTGTGGTCCCAGAGCACCATCTTTGTAGGGATGCTGTAGGATCACTCTCAGTTCTGGAAACTGCAGGATGAGGATGCCACCCCCTGCAAATCCTTGCACAGGCAACAGTACCCTTGCACCTCCCTATCTTGGGTACCACTAGGGCTTATGGCTACTTCCAGGACTAAGACTTGCTTGAAGCTGCTTCACACATTCACTCCCACAGTTTTGCAACACATGCATGTTTAGGTATGCACACTAAGCAGAAAACAAACACTATATATAACCAGAGTCGGAAAATAATTTTTTTTTACCCTGCAGTTTGAAGAATACTTTACATAGCAGGTTTGCATGACACCATAACAAGGAAAAAATAAATCCAGTTGAAAATAATGGATAAAATGTAAACTATGCCTATACAAACGTCCTTAAGGTTCACTTTCAACATTCCTTGTGAACATAAGGGAATTTCAGCTAGGCACAATGAAAATTCCTTGCATACCATGTACACATTTTCTGGATGAAACAGCTATTTTCCCACACACTTCTATAGCAATGTTATTAACATACTCATGATGCTTGAAGACAATAAATTTAAAGTACTTCTTCATTTTTAGTCTTAAAAAAATCTGAAATAAAATGCTTTTTAATTGCATAAGCATGTCATTTCTGAACTGTTAGACAGTTAATGGTAAAGGTAAAAAAGCGGGATTAGAATTTGGAAATTATGCAAATAGATTTTAAGATTAACAAATCTGCTGTGAAAAGTCATGCATATGTTCTGTTTGTGGGAGCAAATAAAAAAAAACCTCCCAAACCCAATGATGAGATGCAACAGTATCTGCTGGTATATTTTTAGGTAAAGGTATGCAATCAAATTATTTGACTTGTTTATTTCATTTTTTGAAGAAGTTCAGTATAAAAAGTTTTATTTAAGAAGTTTGGAACATTAGACTATTCTGAGGCTAGATTTTTTTTTCCTTATTTTTACAAGCATCTTTGATGCACAATACATTGAAAACTAATATGAACTAATTCGTCTTTATTATCTCCCATATTAAGCACTATAGGAAGCAGAGTCCTTCTGCAATCGCTGAGGAAATTCCTTGTGAATTACAGGCTGCTTTCTCATTTAAGGTCATGTGCTGAGGGAACACAGCTCCCTAAATAGTGAGGCTTTTGTTGGGCTATTCATCTTCTGCAGCAGCTCTTCTGAAAAACACGGTCAAAGGCAGAGGGAAACAAGTACCAAGCAAAGCCAGAGTTTCTCATGGATAGATTCCATACCTAGAAACAAAGCCTCCTCCCAAGGATTCTGCTCTGTATAAACTCCCCATGGGCCTTCTAAAAGCCTTGACCTGTCACATTAGCAGCAGCTTATTCTTTTTCACCAGCCTCCTCCACAATACAGCAAAGCCAAGAGGGAGATGCAAGAAAAGCTTTTTTCTTTTTTTCTTACAGAACTTTCTTTTTTTTTAACCTCAGGACAGCAAGCAGCTTACAGTGCAATTTGTCCTGTGAGCCTGTTTTATTTGACCAGAGCATTTTAAACATTCGGGTAGGTTTCCAATAAGGAAATAGTGGCCGTGCTCCTTCACAGGCAGTGCTGCAGAAGTAGTGGCAGTGTGATGTGTGTGGAAGGAGGGTTTTACAGCCCAAATCTCTCTCCCACAAAGAACCCAGCTCCATTGTCCTCTACCCACGTAATTTAACTCCCTCTAACAATGAAAAGTAATTTCTAAAGAAAAAAACATTAGCTATCACTTCAGTAAATGCTTTCAGGGCCATTATAGGAAATACACCTGAGGAAACTTTTTTACTTAAAAAAAAAACCCACCACACTGTTTAAAGAACATAATCACATGTTTTGTTATATATTCAGATATGCTCTGCTGAGCTTTCAAACCTTTGTTGTTTTGTTAAGTGAAAGAGATACCCAGAGACTTTATTTCCTACTCACTTAAAAATGCTAATGAATTGTGATAAACTCAACAGCAGGTAAACATTTATCGATCTTTTATCTTAATCCTACTGAAACCAATAGTTTATGGAGGAGGAAAATGGTTCTATATGTTTTGAAAGAAAATGAAAGTTTAAGGTATACTTGATAAATTACAGAATTAATCTGTAATTAAGATATTACAATGGAACCATCACTAAAATCAGGGTTCGTGTAAGGAAAACCCTTTTTCTGTAAATGAGACACTTTTACTTGTATGGTAGAAAGCTCAGGGACTACTCTGAAGACTGCTTTAGAAACACTTAATAGTCCAGTTAACTCTTTTTTAAAAAAACAAGCCCTAAAATCAAAAGCTTTTATGACAATTTAATGGATAGCCCATTGTCTATATATTATTTTTCTTGATCGGTCACTCGATCCATGACTCAATAAATTAACTGTGAATACCCATATAACACTTGTCATTTGTTCTGCATCCTGCCTTCCTTTCACATGTATACTCCTCAGATTTCAGTGGGAATTTCCAGAAGAAATACAGAATAGGAAATATGAATATATACTAATTTCTAAAAACTGCATATAAGGAGGTCTTGCTCTGTTTCTGTAACTCTTATCTGTGACCAGTACAGACTGATATTTAGCTAGCAGTAATTAATGTTGCTAAAATGATACACTACATACTCTCTTTTGAGATTATTTTTTTACTAGCAAGACTTTAGTGCATTAGAGATTTTCATAGGGTTTCAGCAGCATAAAGTCGGTCAATGAGACTGTTAGCTGATTCTTCCAACTAGCATATATCAATAACAAGTCTTCTACCACTATAGCTGGGTTCAGGGGTAAGAAAATGCTTCCCCTTGACCTTGTAGCAAAAATTCTGCTCTCAGATAAGCTCATATTGGTCCTGCTGTGTTTAGAATTTTTTGCCCACTTCTGAAGGCAGAATTTGCTCTACATTTATGAAATCAATTACTGTGCTCTCTTGAGAAAGAGACTCCTGTTTTCCTCACCTTCTTCCAAATTGCAGGTTCTTTTCCACATCGCACTGGACAAATTTCTCAATGCACAGTCACAAAAAATTGAAGTGGTTATGTAAGGATTCACAAAATCTAATCCAGTCAACTGATTTACATAGGAAAAAGGAGCACATGTGTAAAATCAGACTATGCCTGACATTGTACAAAAAGAACAAAGCCCTTATTTAGCAAAACACTGACATGTAGCTAGCAAACCAAACACAGCTCTGCTGTAATTTATTTGCTTGCAGTGGAGTTGATGCTGCTGACTCCAAAGATGGAAGTCAGCCAGCAATGATCATCATGTAGACTATGCTGTTGGACAGAGGAACTCTCTTGTTTTCTGTAGCCACTCAGTTTCCAAATACCTTAAAATTCATATATACATTTTTATGTTTAAAACAAGTAAAAAAGCTAAAAATTACTCTTTATCAGATATAAATTAAGTGACATCATAACATATAAAAAACTATATATATATAAAATTTATCTCTGTGTGTGCACACATGTGTATGCATATACACACACAACTATACATCCACACCACTAAGCACTCATTCAATCCAGTCATTTTTGTTAAGTAATGAGGAGAAGCTAAGAGGCTAAAGCAGGAATTTAGTCAACTGAGAGAACTATAAAAGTACCGATTACTCTATTTAAGAGTGTTTTAATAGTTCTATCTATTGCTATAATATACAGCAATGTTAATATTTCAGTCACAGCTTTTGTCCACTCCCACAGACCACACCAGTACTAGCTACATGTAGAGTGAGATCAGTGCTTTGTCAGACTAGTTCATATCTACATTCTAGGCCATAACTAAATAAATTAGAATATGCTAAAGTGCTACATCACACTAGTGTTCCTGAACAGTAGTAATGCACATTTCTCTTTCAAAAATAAAAAAATACAGCAGCTATAGTATCAAACATAGTCACATTATGTGAATATGCTTACATGTCACTTTGTTACAGCATTCAACAAAACGCATAACACAAAACCGTATGGCAACAGTCAAGACTCTGATAGAGTACAAAAGGTAACTTTTTAAAAGTTGAGCATGATGGAAATAGACATTTGCAGAAAACACACAGTCTTCAGAATTCACACTTGAAAGTTTCGTTTAATCGTAACTTGCTGATGTCGATATTTATTTCCTCTGGTTTGTCACGTCTGTATGTTACTGTTCTTGTACAAACAGTAGGCAAAAACATCTTATCCTTGAAGGAGAAGATACAATTTTTATCAATGGTTAGCTAACTTTTATGTGCAAGAAAAAGATTATTGAATATGATGGCTCTGAAATCAATTACCTTCTTTGTTGCAGATACTCTGTAATCAGCTGAAGACTTAACTTTATTGCTACTCCCCTGCAGAATTATCTGCCTGATGATAAGGACAACAAGCAACCCTATCAGAAAGGTTACTATAAAGATTATGGAAAAGACTCTAAAGTAGCTTCGTCCAGAGAAACATTCTGCAATGAAAGGAAAACACAAGTGTAAAGCTTAAGGTATGAAACACGCATGTCTCTTAAACAGTTATATCTACCACTGCATAGTAATGTCACATAAATGTAACAGCAACCTGATATAAGTTAAGGGAAAACAATTTAAGGGAAGATAACAGGCAAAGTGGCCATATGCAAGCTTTTAAAGCATACACGAAAGACAATTCCAATTAAGATTCACTATAGAAAAATGGTCAAACTATTATTCCTTTAATGTACAGAATGCAGGCTTCATTGTGCTGGCCATCATAAACTCTCTGTGAACTGAGAGGTTTATAGCTGAAATAGAGACTATGAATAACCAGAGATGTACGGGGCCAAGACAGCTTAATCTTCACAAGATTTCAGTGCAGGTCACTGGCAAAATACAAAAGAAAAAGTGGTTTCCTGAATCTTTGTCCAGTGCTCTCCTCACTGGTAAACCACACAGAAAGCTTTCCTTTAATTAATAACAAAGCTATGAGAAAATTATTCACAGTTAGTTTTCTCATTTATGAACAAATGTAAGATAGAGAGGTGTACGAAAATGTGAAGTGACAAAAGATAACCATTTACCTGCAGTTTTGTTGCAGCATGGACTGATTAAGCTTTACAGCATTTTATTTTTAAAAAAATTGTTCTTCCACAGCCCTCATAACTGTGAGTTGTTTTATAATTGAAAGGAATATTTAAACATTACTGAACATGAGGTAAGCATTCTACTTCATTATTCCTTGTTTCTAGTAATATCAAATAATGTAAGCATATTCAAAGTAATAAAACATACAGATGCCATTAACAGATTTTTATAAATATTTCTTTAAGCATGTCTCAGGCAGGATTATTATTAGATGTGACTTCTCAAGGAGCAGGGAAATTTGATTTAACAATACTTGCCAATCACACTTCCTGTTATTATTTATCTTTTATTTTCCCTGAACCTATGAGTGATTTTTCTTTTTCCTGCTTGTTTTCTTTGTTATTGTAATAATATGACATACTTTTGAAAGACATTGTAACACTGGTGAATTCAATTACCAACCCAAACAGATTGTCATCTCTTATTAAAACTACCTAGAAAACGTCACATACCTGAAGTCTGGTCAATATAATGCAGCAGGTAAGTGCATGAGGTTGTGCACTGGTCAAGTGTAGCTTGAGATGCATTGTTAGAATGATGACACTGAACACAATTCCTGTAAAATAAAAATCTAATTAAAAACCTATGTCTTTCTCTGCACTCCCCTTAAGGAAACTGTATCAACAGACTGACGTATCACTTGCACATAATGCTTTCCTGTTGTTAGTAAAAACATTGCGCCATTTATTTATTTTTTTTCTGGAATGTGATGCTTCCTCTCAGCATTTTATCCCTGCGATGTTTCTCAGAACCAGCTAGTCAGAAGTCGTAAAGTAAAACACGTCTTTGGCTCCAAGCCACCTTCATCCAGCCCCAGCTCTGCATTTTGTGATGGATGCTTTTCAGGGAGCATAGTTAAGGGTCCAGCACCCTTTCTTCAGCTGTCAGCTTCTAGTTCAGTCCTAGTCTTTCTTATCTGTCAGTCTCATTTGGATACACCCTGGGACCGAAGGAAAGAAATAGGTGTAGAAACACAGCTTTGTTAATAATTTTTGGATGCTATATTAAGACAAAGCCACATAAGGTCCCGCTGCTGGGCAGTTAAGAGGGTCAGCAGCACAAGGGGAAGCAGTGCCGCCAGTCTCACTACCTTCACTTTATAGCTTTGCAGAAGATGGCCATCACAAGTGATCCTTAAAAAGCTTTGACTGAATTTTTAACAAAGATATGCCATCTTCTGAATTTATTAAAGGTACACATTTCACAGCAACTTTAAACAAATGTAAGCCAGCAAGGCTAACTGCATTTTATCCAGGGAAGTCTTAGCAGTTACCTTTTCAGACATGGCCCAGCTCGGCTCTCCAGAATATTTACCAGATGAGATAAAATTCATATTACTCTAATAAACAACAATTCTGCTTTGATGCCAATTCCCTTTCCAACTAGAGGTTGATCTCTCATCCTCTTGGGCACAGTGGGATGCAGGAGGCCACATGTGCTGATGGGAAGGCATAGAAGAGCTGTGCCCGAAGACAAGGCTTCATTGACTCTTTAAGCAAGCATCAGCCAATGTGCCACTGACAGCCTGGTCTAGTTTCCTCCTTGGGCTGCTCATTTTGACCTCCACACTGTCTCTTCCTTTACATGGGTAAGAAAAAATGGCATGCTTTAAAACTAGCACAACAAAGACTAAGTGGTTTAAAACAGCGTAATGGAGAACGTTGTTCTCTAGGTAAAACCAGCTCTACTCTGCTGACTGACAGCAGTGACAATGCACAGGTACCACTCTTGTTCCATGCCTCCTTTCAGCTGAAAAGCACAAAGGGAGTGCAAAAATAAATTTGGAGAATATTACTGGACTTAGTGGCATTCAAGAGTAGGATATACTGTCCATTTAAAAAACTCTAAATTTATGAGCTTTATTTCCTATCCAGAAGATTTCATACAAACAACCATCTTTTAATAAATACATAAAAAAAAGACTCATAGGACACACCTCCTTTGACTTTAGAAAGCTGAATTTGGACACAGACTAATGAACACAGATACAGACATGCACTTCTGTTAATTGCCAGTGTGAACCCCTCAGCTACATAGAGAAAAGTTTCAAATAGGAATTGTTGCAATTTCCTGTAATCTAAATATCTAAGAAATACAGCCAAGCAGAAATATTTCTCCTTGTTTCAACCCTACAGAGTTAAAAAGACAAGTCTAGCACAAGAAACGTACCAGTTTTCTTCACAGGCTTTGTTACAAGTAGGGCAATATTCACACAAACGGCCAAAGCTTCTTGGATCTGTGCACTCACACTTTCCACATACACATTTTCCTCTTCCACTGCAAATCTGGCCCTTTGAATTCAGGCAGTGCTTTGCTGATTGTAACGAGCACTGGCAACGGTCACCTTCCCAGCCAGCAAAGCATTTGCATTTACCAGCTTCACATTCACCATTACCTACAACATCAGATAGCCTAGTCATATAGTCATATAGTCATATGCTTTTGTGAAAACATAGAAAAAAATATTCATATGCATACGTTCGTATTGCTGGTGCTTCATGTTAAATAGAGCAAGTTTAGACCTTGGCCTGCTAATTAGTTTTTAACTTAACATTTTGGGCTGACATTACCAGCATGATACATATTTATGGCTGCTGTTTCTTATTAAGTTGAGCGAAAGCTGCTACCTTGATCTCATCCTAAAACGTTTTACTAGAATTTTCCCTGTTGCCTTGGATCAAAGCACTGGGGATTAAAAATTACACAACAACCAGGAAAACAGTCTTCAGGCAAACTAAACAAACTTCTCTTAGCGAGAAAACATTCAATTCAAATAAACAATAAGATTCAGTGGAGGAAGGAGTATTGAGTTCATGTGCCCATGCCACATTGCTTTTTTTCCTTTTCTTTTCAGAAGCACACATGATAGCACTGCTTTACTGCCTTTTCCAAAGGACAGTTGACTGAGCTGGACAGGTGGGTATGTTGGGCTTATGAACCGTAAGTTGTTCAAAAAGATCCTAAAAAGCACCCCCTCAGGAATTCACCTTTGGGGGCCTTTACAATTTTGCAAGCAAAGCAGTGGGAGCTTTAGGGCAAAACTCACATGTTTTCCATGTTGTAGCACATGTAGGCAGCTGTACAATTGACATGCTGATGATGTTTAGCCACATTTTTATAACCCGCGAAAGCACCTTTAGGAAATACAGAGAGAGCGCAAAAAGCACAGGCAAATCTCATGAGGTGTCCTCAACTATGCCTAAGCAGTACCTACATTTCACACGAACTGTGATGGCCCTTCTTGTGCTCCAGGGATCCACAAAGCAGCTGCAGAGAGACAGTCCTACCTAACAGATGGGCTCCCCTAAAGAGGAGCAAGGCCAAGGTACAGGCTGCCCCTTTTTTCACCCAGGCTGGGCAAAATGGAGGGGGAAGGGGATCATAAGACATCTCAGAGCAAGGCTCTGTACTGGCAAATACCCCATGAAGGGGCACACTGCTCAGCCATGGCCACAGGCAGCAGGTTCCCCTTGTGGTAGCCTAGGGCAGGACGCCATCACATGTGACAATCTCCAACAAAACCCCTTGGACAAAGATCTCCCTGACTCCTCTGCAAACCAGGGCACCACCATCTCAGGCTTTAGGAGCTTGTAAGTTTGAAAGGTCTGCTTATGGTTAAGAAGTAGTAAATTCACAAAGTTAGTTGTCACAAGGGAAGAAGAATGAGAAGATGAACCATATTTCTTTGTGTTGGAATGAAATATTTAAAGGATTAGGTAACATTATTTCTCTTCATTTTACATAAAGTTCAGTCACCAGCAGAGCAAAACCAAAATAACTCTACTTAAGTCCACTGTATTACTCTAAATTTATCCAACAGTGGTTGAAAAAAAATTGGTCCCTTAATTCACTTATTGGTGAGTACAGAGTGAAATGAAAGGATGCAAGACAATATGGATTTTAAAGTATTTAATTACTTCTGCGGAGAAAAAACCATTCTGGTAGAGATACAGTAATTAATACTGATTCAATTCCATTCTTCCTTAATAACTAAAACTTAAAAGTACATGCTTTGTATTTTTTCATGTGCAATTTTCATTTATATGCTTTCTTTAAAAAACATAAAGTAGGCCACAAAAAGAATTTCTAACACCTCTCCCTGTTTCACTTTCACTCTCCTTTCTAGAGTTCCTGACAGTGTTAAAATATGTTTCAGAATTTGAAATCAGGTATCGCTGTGTCTCTCACAAGACTGATTTAGGGTGTTAGAAAATCAGAATATCATCTGAAAGTTATGATTCCTCCTAATCTCTTAGTATCTCATATTCTCATTAGGTTAAAATGTCTCAACTTGCTTCCTGGGATAATTTTACTGTTTCATCCAAGATATCAGTATCATTACTTCTGAAGAAGTTTCAGATTTGCATCTTAAAATAACTAAACTTAAAAAACCACAATAAATCCCCTAAAAAGCAGTGCTGAGGTTTAGAACATGGTGCATACCTTTACAGTGAAGAAAGACTAGGAGCACAAATTCCTGTGATGCTCTTCAGGACATTTAACACACTAATTCTGCACACATAATTCTTATACTTGAGAGCCTTATAGCATTGTTTTCAGCTACATCATGTATATAAGCTTCAGAAAACAAAACAAAATCAAAATACAGAAGAAATAAATTCTGCAGCTTACCAGAACATAAGTTTCCCTGGTGATACGGGCAGGAAAAATCATCCATTTCACAGTACTTGCCATACACCTTGCCCAGCTTGTTTTTGTAGCAGAAACATTTTCCATCTATGCAATTTCCTTGACCACTGCAGATGGGCTGGTCCTGGTGTTGTCTGCACCTCTCAGAAGAAAGCGTACCTCTATTAGAGTTACAGTTACTATCACTGCAATGGGACTGTTTGCCATCAGGAAAAGTTTCATCAGTCCATACTCTTTTGTGCCTTGCACTGTCTCCATACTGACAGCCACAGCTTTTCTGCACATTAATGATGGCGGTTTCATTGAAACCAATAGGCTTAAGTATTGCATATTCTCTTCCTTCAGTTGTATCACATCCTTTCATTGTAACCGATACATTGAAAAGTACCTAAGAAGAAATAATGACAGATTTTATATTGGTATTATTTCTTATAAATTGTTTAAAATTTTTAACACATAAATAAAGCAGAATCTTACCTTATGGATGAATGTGCAACAGCTAATAGTAACAAAATATTGGTCATTTGTCAAATATGATATATTAGTAATGACAGGCATCACAAATGCAGTTAAAAGCCTAACAGTAGAAGATTGTCAGCAGTCTACTTTTTATGTTAAGAAACCATAGTCCCAGAAGGTAAGTTTAATACAAGTTAAATAGTCATAAATTACCATCATCATCCTCCTAATCTTATTTCATGTGTATATTCTGTATGTATTATAGAAATGCTCAGATGAGAATTGGGACTAGATTGAGCAAGTCAATACACAAACAGAAAGAGATAACTCTTTGCAAAAAGAACCTATAATAAATGTCCTTGCTGCGGAAATGGTCTGTGCAAACAGAAACCACACAGGTTTTTTGGACAGCCCCATCTATTCCTACTAAGACACAAAAATAGCAAAATAGTAGCAGCCTATTTTTGCCATTCCTACAATGGGGATGGAGCAAGAGAGCCTTGCTACTCTTGCTGTGGCCCTGAGCAGACCAACTGCTGTTTTGGGATGGACCCAGTGCCTATCTTTTGGTCCCATCATGGCCATCACTACCATGCCCCAGGACCTCACCCTGATAGGACCTGCAGCAGCAGCAGCTTCTGTGGCTTTCCAGAGTCCTAGTATCAGTCACTGCCAAAACTCTTTGACAGCTCTGACATCTCTGATACTTTTACTGGATAGCAATCCTTGTACTTCATGATTATTTTTTTTTTGGGTGTTTTTGGGGTTTTTTTGACTGGTAAGATTCTGACAGGGTATTCTCATTAAGGCTATTTAGCCTGGCAACAGAAAGCAACTCTTTATCACCCCCTCACAAAGGAAGAATAATCAAGAGGAAAAGGTGAGAAAGGAAGTGAAGAGTGGCAAATACCTTTACATTTTACCACCAAAGAACAAAGATTTCCAAATAAAAAAAGAGGAAACCTAAGACACTGATTACATATGAGGTTGAAACTATCCACAAAGACTAAGACCATTCATTTCTCATTGCTGTCTCCCCTACCCGCTGCGCCCCCACACAAGAACAGCCGAGCCCTTGGGGACAATGGTGGCTTTGTGGTGAGTGGGGCTGTGGCTGCCTACATGGACAACAGGAGAATAATGCTGTGCAGAAGCATGCATTTCTTAATGTCATATTGAGGGGGTACACAGGCTTTGTCTCACCCTTTGCTTTTCTTCTCCTTGTTTCTTAAATGCACCACTACACACATAACCACTCAGCTGCCTACGTTTTGTGCATGAGACTTCTTCCTTTCAGTTTTCGGGCAAAAGCATGGCTATGCTTTTCTTCAACACAGAGCCCTGCTAGAAAACATCAATTTCATGTACAACATGCTACTAGAGAAATGGCAGGGAGACAGGAGGGAAGGGCATATCATGTCTTGCGTCTGAGTTGTGAAATAGGATGGGTCTGAACCACAGCAGCAGAAAGATTAAACACACTGAGACTAAATAATTACAGCACCGTTAATATTGACACTCGTTAATAGCCACAGTTAGTTTTGTACCCTGAAGAGGCCACAGGATTCTTCCAGAATATAACACACTTTGTGTTTTGGTAAGAAAAGGAAGGAAGAAGGATTAGACAATGAAAGGAATGTGATAATTAAGGAAAAGCATTTTGCCTGTAAATAAATACTGAAAGGAGGATTTACGATTAAAATAAATTAATCTCTTGAGGATGGCTCACTTTCAACAGCCGTAGATGTTTAGGACCACATGCAATCTTTTAAAATCAACTGGCTTGGCTTTTTATTAAAAGGAAACAGATATAAATATTTTTCTTTTCATTAAACAGAACAAATTCCAGCCCTATTTCTTATGACATGCACACGGAACAACACTGGAGAAGAGATGAGTTAAGAAGAAACACATAGCAAAACTCCCTTAAACTGCAGAAGCTAATCAATAGCAAGCCATGCAGACAAAGTTCAGGAAAGCACAAAATACATCTAAATGAACATATTTAAAATTCATACATTTAATCTACTGATTTGTTTTGCTATTTCTACACCAGCTGAGATGTATGTACATGGCAAGAAGGAAAGAACTCCTTGACCCTGCTCTCCAGAAACACAGACCTCTTCCTGGCAAGCTAAATGAATTACTCCACTACTCCAAGCAATTAAATAAATATATCAAGGCACAGAGAAGTTGTTCTGGGAAGGAAATAATATTCTCTATATTAGCCAGACATCTTCCCCTGCATTTTCATGGTGCATGATGGTCCTGTTTTACAGTTTTTTTCACTCAGTAGATGGCACCAATACAAATGGGTATAAATAATTTTATTAATTTGATTTATAAAACAAACTCATTATCCACAAACCTGATTGTGCACAAAGCAAGGAGGGGGAAAAGGTGGGATCTTGTACAGACCCAAGGAATACAAAGTCCAGTGATTTTTTTCCACTGGGTGATTATTTTTCAACCTCTGTGTACAGATCTCATCACAATGCACATGGCCATTGTGCTCAGTGGAGGACAAAGGAGGAGAGTTTTAATGGTCATTAGCTTTCAGGAAAAGCTTTGAGCCTTAGTTCCATGAGATTAGTGAGAATTAAAATAAGATTCAGGAAAAATAAAACCAGAGAATAGTAGAGAGTCTGTGATCACTAATCACATAAATCCATTTTCAGTTTAAGTAAATCCCTACAAGATTTCACACCATTGAAACCCAGCCAAACAGAAAAATAAGTATTCCAATTCCTTGAAGAATGAGAACTATCAACATACTTCTTCATTATATCCCACATTTTTACATCCTTCCATGCCAGTCTTTTTACTTCCATCAGGACAGATTGCAGTGATACTGAAATGAAGACCTTGGATCTGGTTATCCACTTGAATTCTCACTTCAGAGATTAGTTTCTGTAACCAGAAAACAAGTTTTAGTCACATTGCAACTCAACATATAATGTGCATTACCGACTAACACCAAGTACGGCTACTATGTCTGACTAAAAATGAAGAAAGCTTGTCTGTGTGAATAAAGGAATGAATCGAAGCATTGTTTCCCATATAAAGACCCGATTACATTCCAGATATACACAACCAGTGAACTGATAATTCTGATAAAGAGGATTAAGTTTTGCAGATAAAAATGTTTTCAGCTTTTCTAAAATGGTTTTGAGACTGTATCTTTGGCAATTTGAAAATCTATTCTAACAACTGTGCGCAACAAAATCTGCTTATTGTTTGAAAGACTACACTGTCTTTTAGTCACACATTTAAATAAACCAACAAACATATATACAACTACTGATACCCAGCAGAAAAGGTTCCTAATTGACTTGACACTTTATAAAGTTCTGATATTTTGCGTCTGTCTTGTTAAAGTTTTCTCTGAACAAACCTAAGGGTGATCTGAAGACTATTGGGATTATTCTTACTGATTTATTTGGGATATCTAGGTCTGTATAAGTCAACAACTAGTTGACCCCCATTAGGGCTTTCTGCAACATAAAATAACAAAAAGGCCAGCTACTTTGTAACTTGCATTTACTGAATGCTTAAAATGCTACTTCCTTATAAGAAGTAATATTGCTTCTTGAACTACTGAAAATTTATTGAAGCTCTGTACAAACCTATGAGCTGAAAATTACACAAAGAGATTATTAGAATTCCTGGCATGATACTATTTAAAAAATTAGTTTAGTGGGATATTTTTACAGCTACTAAAGGAAATTGAATTACATGAATCTGAACGCATGTTTATCTTAGTAACTTTTTGAAAATTAGTGACTCATCTTTGGCTTTTTAGCCAGGGATTTTCAGCCAGGATTTTCCACAACTAAGCCTAAGGCTTCCATGCCTAGAACAAGAGTGCAAGAGGCCCACTGTCATCAAACACCAACACTAAATTTATTTTCTTATCTAAGTACTTTTGCTTTCAAGAAAGCAAAACATTCAAGCCCTGTTCACCATGTGTTTGTATATTACAAGCCCCTAAAACTATTATAAAAATCTTGACCTATCAAATCCAGTGAGGTTTAGGATGGGAAGGAAGATACTGTCTAAAAAATTAAAATAAGGCCAGAGCAAACTGGGGGTGGCTGGAGCAGGAAAGTCCCACTGAATCTTCCACTGAACTATATAATTATTTTGTAAATTTTTGTTTCCTCTCCTTGAACATTTGGCCTGAACTGTGCTTTAAAAATTGGGATACAATTTAGGATGGGCAGTGTAAAACTGGCATACAAAAGGACCATGATCTTCTTTTTTGCCACCAATTTCCTGCAAAATTCCATGCTCAAAATGAGATTTTTTGACTTTATAAGAGAAAGTACACTATCAGTGAGAACTTCTCTGCAATTTGATTATACTGAACCTCTTCTGCTTTTTGAAAGTCTCTGCCTTCTGCACAATGTTTTCAATATGACACTGAGGAAAATGTGCACAAACCAGCTCGATTGAATAGGAGCAGACATGGGACTTGGCTCTTCATTGCAGCCCATTTGCTGAAAGCTAACAGTCTGATTTAGATGGTTAACCTAGGACAATGGATAATTTCAGCCTCCCATGTCCAATTAATTAAAAAGTATGTGATACACGTTGATACCTTGTATATAGCTTTGTAACTGATTTTTCAACTTTTAGAATTTGCATGTTTGTGTAACTTGCACACCTTAACAGCATTCAACCATTTAACCCATCATATTCACTTTGCTTCTGCTGTACGGGCGTCCTTTGCTCTGTTACATCAAATGTATACTTCTTGGTTTCATTTTCAAAGCTGTTTATGTCCCCTCTTAGCAGGCTTTCATTCACTATCAAGATGCCAATTTTCATTTTCAAGCTGCCGTTCCCTGTCAGTCATTTGTGAAAAACAACTTTATGCTCTTTCCCATACTATTACTTTCAGTTGAGAACTCTAGACGAGAGTTCACAAAGCCATTACATAGTTCTCTCCCAAATCCCTATCAAAACTCTTCACTGCCATGCCTCAACCCCCCTGAGTCATTACATTGCTTTGTGCCGTATAAATCCTGCTTTCCACAATATCCACTGTTGTCAAACTACCTCCCTGTAAATTCCTACCTGTTGTCCATTTTCTAAGAATTACACTGTAAAACCCTCTAGTCTAGATGCTGCACTTTCTGCTCTGAATTTATATGGTGCCTAGAGAGTGGTGTCTGGTCTGTAACTAAAGATTTGAGAAGCCAAAATTCAAGTAAGTTCGACACTTCTTTTGAAGTTACATGGCAACAGGTGCAGAAAATTAAACAGCATATTTAGGACTACATTTAGAATAGAAAAAGTGATAGCTCTTGCCTTTGAAACCCTGACAGCCTGGGAATTCGAGAGCTGTCATGGGATAGCGTCACCCACCAACCTGAACATTCAGAAAAGTAGGGAAGTTATCTTTGTGGACTTTAGATAGGTGCCAAGATCTGGGAAATTCCAACTTTAGGCTATGAAAGGTGAAAACTTCCTGTACAAATACAACATATAACATCATCACTCTGATCATACCTGATAGGCTTCTACTACCAAATCATTGAGATTTGCTGCTTGTGATTCTATCTGTCTTGCAACAGTACCAGGCAACAGAGGTAACAGATCCTATGAAAAATACAATAATTTATGCACAGTTTTAATTTTTAATATAAATATTGTGCTTTCAAAATTGGAAAAAGAAATCAAGCTTCTAACCTACTTTATACCAATGGAACTGGCTTCCTTGAACTGCAAAAATAACATTGATGTTATTGTCAATCAACTTTTCAGAGAGCTGCCCAAGAGATGGATGCTCCTGCAAAATACAACAGAAAAGAGAACACTGCAGTTTGGTAGAGAAAAACCTTGTATTTCACATGTGACACAATGCAGTATTCCAAAACCACCCCAATTCTTATTCCTAAATGTACAGAGAAATGCGAGACCTACATCCAAAAGAAGGTGGAAACAGCAAGGCGAGTAATTAGAAGTTTGTTTCTCAGAAACGTGTTTAGGCACCAGCTAAATGCAGCCACTGGGTCAGGTTCTATTAATGTCAGTATTCTGTACATATCTTCTTATGACTGACAGCTTTCTACTTCTCTGTATGTCCAAGACCTGATTTAAGAGTGATGTCTCTAGTCCTCACTGCTATGAACTGTTACATTTTCTTAGCCACGCTTGTGCTTGAAGAAGGTAGCATGAGTTTCACATCTCTCCTCAGTAGTGACATTACTGTATTTGGTAAAGAACCTGTGACAGCATGTCCTGTGCCAGTAACCTGCCTTTCTACACTTCTCATTGAGAGATCTGACATAGATTTGAGAACAAGAGGTGAGTTACTACTCCTTCATCCAAGATCTGGGGAAGCACAAGGGTGTCTGTGTGGTCCCAGTGGACAGTGGAGCTATGTGAGATCCCTCCAGCTTCAGTACTCTAAAACAAACTCTATCTGAAAGTCACTGCTTATTTACCATATATCTGTGAATACTTCTCAAAGAAGAAAATTTAACACTTAAAATTCATGACTAAACATAGAGAAGTGACTGGGAAGTCGGCTTGTGTTTCCCTTGACAGAGATTTCATCTGGACACCTCCACTTACATCAGGTTCTTCAATCTCTTTCCCCTATATACTTCTGCTGTCTTTCTTCTCCTGATATTTTTCACCATCTGCCCCATATTGTCTTTGCACAAACACACTCTGTTTCCCTGCACAATTAATTTCTCCTCAGAGTTACACCTGTTACTCAAGGCACCCTGCAAGTTAATTGTTCTCCCAACAGTAACATGAATGCCAAGACAGCTGAGACAAATTTATGCAAGGGGGCAAAATCCATTTTCCATCATATTGCACCATTATAAAGAGCCTCATATAGAAAGAACAAAGGAGTTTCTTGCTGCAGTTTGATCTTAGCCAGGGTCCACACCTCTCTCAACTTTCCTACCCTTTGGTAAGAGATTATGTTCCTTAAGATAAGCAATGAAAGGTAGGTAACACAGCAATAAACAGGCCTTCTTACAGCTCCCGCTGGGGATTGTGCCTTATGTGAGGGCCCAGTGAGCACACATTCCCACTCCACAGGTGCTGTGGGTGAACTGCAGTAGCAGTGGCTTTGTTGCCATACTCAATATCCTGCAACACTGTACTACAGCCTCCTGTCTTCTCCATGACCACAGACCACAGTGGTGGGGCCTTCATTGTGCTGCACAGTCCTACAGGCCACATGCAACTGTCTGGCAGATCACAGACAGACCAAGTGGTCCCAGGGCACAGGTAGCCAGACATTCTGCATATACCTCCTGCATTAGAAATGTGTGAAAGACAGTGTTGAGGGATCATGAGATGGTGGTCAAATAAGTCAGTTTCAGTGCTTAACTTGTGACAGTAGACACATCCGAATTCCAGTAAAGTGGCCCTTCGACATCTCTGCAACTAATGGCAAAACTCTGGGATCGGTGGCATCAGAAATGGGTTTCCAAGCCCTCATGAAATAAAAACTTATTTAGATGGAGCTTACTGAAGTCCAGAGATGACATGCGTAGATGTGCAAGAGTTGCAGGGACTAAATCCCCAAACTACCAACTCTGCTTACAAGTGTACTTGTCAGCTCTAACTTGAGTGCCCAGCTTGGTTAGTAGTGCATTAAAGTCTCACTTCGGATTAGAAAGAAAACTTTTCTTTTTATTAGAAGAGACTTTTAAAAAAAAGCTTCAACACACCCATACAATCTTTTTTATTTTTAGCATGTAAAGAGATGACAAAAGGAACTGCTGGTCACTCCTGGACCCTCATTTTGCTTGCGGTAATAACCTTGCTGCACTTCATGTATTTTTTTCTTATCTCTTCCCACTACTGCTCAGGCAAATGTACTTTCCTTTTCATCATCTTTTCTTGTTCCAATTACTTCATTCATTTTATTATTTTAACCTACTCTGTTAAGCTGAGAAGACAACTAATACAGATGTTAAGTATTTCAGAAAGGGAGTTAACCAAGCACAGATGTAATTAAAATGGATTAGATTTCTTTCCCGTCTCATGCTTTTTTGCTGACCTCTGTGTGAATGCTTAGCAAAAGTTAGAAAGAACAGGCAGAGAAGTGACTAACTGGAAACACTTCTGATGTAAAGGTTAAGCTTATGCAAACAAATAAAGCAAAGTCCTCTTAACTGGCACAAGGAGGAAATAAAAGTATACCAAAATGAAATCTTAAGACGACCCAGAAGCTAAGAATTGAAGTAGGAAAACAATGTAATTACAGATGGCTCTTTAACTTATCACAGCACAACAAAATTGCACTGATAAGGAAAAATGAGCAAAAATATATTGCGTATGATGTATTTAAAAAAAACAAACAACTGACAGCCTTGTATAAAATAGTATTTTTCCCCTGATTTTACTTGTTCATTTCAAGTTTCTTTAAGGATCTTTATGACTAAAATAATCACAGGCTATAAACAACTGAGAAGTAAAAAAGCAGGAAACCAGTATATCTACCCTTACAGACACTATTGTGTTATTATATCAAATCTACTCCAGAAAGTACCTAATACTGAGAAATATTTCTGTTCCACTCCTATTTTATTATTAAGTGCATGTCCACTATTACATGTGGGCATCCAAGAATTAGTCCATGGTTGAAGAAGATATAGGCCAGCAGTCAGAAAACACATAGGCCAAAATGTGCCATCACAGATGAAAGCATCTTTAAAGCTCATTTCATTTGGGTGGCTAAAAATACAACCTCATTTCACAAAAGGCATTAATAGCAATAAGCATGGAGATTTCTGATTCTATATGGGACAGTAAAATCATGATCTTTCAGTTCAGAATTCAAAAAACACTTTATTCAGTCAGATATCAATCTGTCATAATTACTTAGAAACAGGCTAATTAAATTTGTCTGTATTTTATATTGGTGAGGTTTTCCAGCTGAAACAGAAGCTCATTTCTCAAGTTGGACAGAAAATTAATATAGTTGGTTTTTCTTCTCTGAAACAGACTATATCTTTATTACCAAAGGAATCCTGAACACCAGCATAAGATTTGTACCTTCAGAAATTGCTAATAAATACAGCAAAATCCCTCTCATTTATAGCACTGAAATGGGAGGGGTGTGGGGAAAGACAGGAAAGTTTTGGGATTATTTACTCTAAGTAGAAAGGAAGGGGTTGTTCTTATCCCAGGGACACTGTAGAAATACTGAAACTGAACAGACTGGCTAGAGAGAAATAAATAATCCTGACATCTGCGAGGGAATATCCAAGAGGTGACAGAGGGAGTATATGAATGCAAGAACATTAGACAATTGGAAATCCAAATAACCTTTCTGTCAGCACATGCTCAGCTCCCTCCTCCGCTCAGCAAGGTCCCAAACACTCACTGATTCCCAGAATCCTCCTGTATTTCATGATCACACACCATACAGCGGCTGCTTCCTGCCACCCCACCATCCCTGTAAACACCAGTTGCTGGGATTAAATTCAGGTCTAGCCTAACTTACTCATAGCCCTCATTGACTTTACTAGCACACTGCCAGCTCAGGCTGAATACAGGTTATATATAGGCTATAACTGAGTGCAGCTAGCACTAAGAATAAAACTGTAATGTGCTCTAATGATAGCACAGTTCATATTTCTGTGTTCTGGTGATTATATGACAACTAAATAGTGATTCATGTTTCTTAAATAAATGATTCATATTTATTTAGTTAAAAAAATCAAAGCAATTAAAAACTAAAAAAACTTAGAAAAAATGTCTGTCTTCAATCACTCATGACTACTTTATACATTCTTGAAGAAATTATTTTGAAAGCTAAAAATATCTGCTGAAGGTGTATTATTTCACTACAGTGGATCTGATGCAACTTTTGCACAGGTACGTATTACTACACATTGGTTTTATACTGACACTCAAATGTATTTAATGCTACATTACCACAGCAGAGCTTTGTGGCATGAGAATATTTTCTAGTCCATCATGGTTGAATTAGCTCATTGCTGTTGTACGTCTTCTGTTTTACTCTCACTAAGCCTTTTCAGTCACAGAATCACAGAATCACAGAACGTTAGGGATTGGAAGGGACCTCAAAAGATCATCTAGTCCAATCCCTCTGCCGGAGCAGGAACACCTAGATGAGGTTGCACAGGAAGGCGTCCAGGCGGGTTTTGAATGTCTCCAGAGAAGGAGACTCCACAACCTCTCTGGGCAGCCTGTGCCAGTGCTCTGTCACCCTCACTGAGAAGAAGTTTCTTCTCAAATTTAAGTGGAACCTCCTGTGTTCCAGCTTGTACCCATTACCCCTTGTCCTATCATTGTTTGTCACCAAGAAGAGCCTGGCTCCATTAAAGGACCACAAAGCATGATCACTACTTTTGTCTCATTAGCAGGATCATACAATTCTTGCATATGCATGTAAGAATTGTTCATCATTATGAAACGGTAGTAAAACACCACATCATAACCAGTATCATATTCTCCTCTGCTGTATCTCAGACTCCAAAATATTTCAGTCTAGACAAAAACAATGTCAGTATTGCCCAGTGATTGATTCTTCATTTCACATCTTGCCTACCTAGGAAAATACTATTCTAATAATTGAACTAAAACCCATGTTTTGGCAGCAATCTAAACCCGTCATTTATGCCGTTTTACACCCCTTCTCTGCAGGCAGAATGTATGACATATACCTTACCATACTCGTAGCTTTGATGTACACATTATCTTTCAAATGACAGTTTCCATCATGGGGAATTACGATCCCTGCTAATTTACTATCAAGGGCCAGATGGGAAGTTTGATCTGTCATCACAAGAAGCAGTCGCTTTGCTTCTTTGCGCCATCCAATATGGCTCTAAAAAGAAAGCAAAATTAAGCATAAGAAAGCAGTAACTACATATGTTCTAAAATAACAAATAAAAAATGAATGTGAAACTCTACTTTCAGATATTACACTGCTTAGCAGCACTAAGTTTAAACCAGGCTATTTAAAGCATTTTGTGTGGAAACATACCATGTCCTACATCTGAAAACTACTACTGCGAGTCAGAGATCCACTTACCATGTTCTTTGCTTTTAGAAGAAAGATTTCTCTAAAATATATACAAGTTATGCATTACATAGTGAGTTTGGGTAATAGCTGCCACATCGTGTGTATCTCTGTTACATAAAAAATGCAAATGCATAGCTTTTGGATCTCAGAGAATTGCACAGATAGCATCACAACCAACAAATACGCACTAATTTGTATTGGTACTTGGTGCCCTCTTCTATTTTCACCATATATTTATTTAGTTTATATTCTCATCCTTCCACAATTTCCCTTTTCTATACAGCTTCCCAGAAAGGACATTGGCATGTGATCAACCGATAAACTAAAGTTTGAGTGTCTTCATGCACCAGCAAACTCAAAAATTTTTTATTATGCAGCAAAATACTACATCTATCCACCATTCTAAGAGATTAATAGCAAAGTTGCACCAGCAAGGGTGAATTTAATGTATTTTAGGAATTCAGTGATGTGAAGGAGGCGGCAGGGCAAGCTTATATGTAAATTGGGTTAGGTGCTAATTTGTATTTCCATAACACTTACTCCCCCGCAAGGAAAAAATGGCTGCTTCAAATCAAACTTTTAGAGGCACACATGAATCACCTCACATTCTTTTTCATTATTCTCTCTCTCAATTATTCCATCTTGTTCACTAATTCCATTTTTCCCCTTCCTTGCTCCTCCTTCCAATGATGCCGTCTCATCTCTACCATTTTCCTTAACACTGCCTGGTATCTTTCATGTCATGTGAAAGGAGTATCTGCAATACAGTCCATGTAATCAGCCAGGCTTCATGACTTACTCTCTACTTTCCTCTCTTTGCTTTGCAGAGAGCAATTTAGCTCCCTTCTCAGGCTCATTCTCTAGCTCTGAATGGGGAAGGAGTATCACATAAACAGCAGAGATACAAAGTACATAGGGGTGTGGTGTCTTTCTCAGCCTCCCTCAGACAGCATTCCTCTAAAGAAGGGGTATTTTAAGTTCTGTTTATAAACAAGTTATATCATAAATAATCCCAAATTCTCCCCAGCACTGAAACTTCTTGCTCCTAAAGACTCCACTTTGCCACCTCAAGACTCCTATCTACACACGTCACAGCAACCAAAATTTTAAAGAAGCTTCACATCCTAACCTGCTACTGCTTGCAGGAGGAATGTATTGGTTAATGCAAGATGGAGCAAGTCATAAAGTTCTATTGTAGGCAAAATGAGTGCACATTAATATAAATTATAGTTCATGATGATCATTATGAATTGCACATTGTTCTCATCCTTTTTGGTTCACAATTCAGTTAACAAGAAAGCCTCCTCATGCTCATGAGTCTTTCCATTCTATTGTTTTGGGAAGCATATATTATGCTAGAGTTCACATCATGAGTATGGAATGTGACCAATGAGAAACACTGAATTTTGAGGATTATTTTCCAAAGCTTCAGAATAATTTTTTATGACAGCCGTGATCACAGTGTCTATGAAGAGTGGCTTTTATTTACCTGTTTTGCAGTCCATCAGAATTTGAAAATAAAACTGGGACCAAATTAGTAATTTTTAGCATACTTTCAATACCTTTTCGGCCTCAACTCATTCTATTGCTTAAAAAAAAAAAGAATGTGTAAATGGACAAGACAGAGTTGAAATACTTCCTCTAAGAGGACCAGAAAGATTATCTTATGGAGCATTAGCAAACCCATAAGCCAGCCAACTTTCCGAATTTCTATTGTACTCTTAGGCACAGAAGAAAAACAACATGCAAAAGAGCCCTTTAGAACAATTTATTATTATTTAAAATGCTTATAGCTTGGGAAGAACTGATGCAGATCTTTTCCACCCTTTTATGCATAGTAGAGATGGTGACGCAATTTTCTCAATATACAAAAGCAAATTTTTAGTTGATTTGTATTGTTTTAAAATACAGTCTTCAGAAACTGAGATAACACTGAAGTGCATTTGTTTTCCTTATCTACATGAGCAGGTATGCAACTGATTCTTCAGTTTTCAAATGAGTTCTTAAGTAGAAGAAATGTCAAATGGTATATCCTCACCCATGAATGGAAGGAAGGCTTTAATTATTTTTAAATTAATTTTGCAATTGACTGAAATGAATACATGTGTCTGTTCAAGCAAGGAGCAGTTGCTTTCATTGTCTGTCCCACATTGGTTAGGCTGCTTAAAGTCAGACTTTGAAGAACACCATTAAACAATACTGAAAAATATGTTCTTATGCTCTCCTTTAGCTAAAGGAAAAGAGGGAAGAAATCTTACTATTATCAGTCCTAGAACTGACATTTTGAATTCAGTAACACTGAGCACTGTCGTACCTACATATATATATATAACTTACATCCGTGTCTGAACTACCATTCAGTCATCTGTTAATAGTCACCTTACCTGGCACACAGCTGCCTGAAGCATCGCATCAAATCCCCCTTCAGGTGTATCAATATTCCCAGAAATTTTTTGTTTATTCACTGCATTTTTGAATTCTGCTATATTGTCCGTCAGGGATAGCACATGAATATAACCATGAGGAGGCATACAATCTAAATTATAATCACTGTACAAAAACAAAACAAAAGTCAAACATATTCCATATTTTCCATTTGAAGGAGATGTAAGTATTCCCTATTAACCCATAAAATCCTGTTACTAATGAAGATGTATACATGCATGGCAGATGGAATACTTAAAGAAAAATAACTCCAAGCAAGTTCAAGTTCAGTGGGAATTGGTTTGAATTTACCCTGAATAACAGGCGTGGGTTTTTTCAGTATTTTATGGAAATGTATACAATATAATTTAGTTCATAATAGTAACAGTACATATGTAGTGTTTCTGTACAGAACAAGAAGAAAGACAATATGAGTGAAAACAGGATCTCAGAGAGTATATGATCCCTTTTGGAATGCCTATGGTACTGTACAGCTTTGCTTTTCATTACTCTGAGAAAGGGCTATAGCACCACAGCATTCAGATCCTTTAATAGCTTGAATTACAGCCTACTGGATCAAAACTAAAATTAAATCTAAGTTCCTACACCCACTATTAGTAAATATAAAACTAATGTTGAGGTTAGTGACAGTAACCTCACTAAATGGATGAGAAACTCCATCTACTGCATCATCTTATTTGTAAATGACACTTTAGAAAAATATGTATAAGGGAAGAAAGGATAAAGTTTTACGTAAGTAAGCTAATACCACAGCACCGATACAGGTCATTGCTCTGTGACCCATTTAGAGCACTGGAATTTATAGCCCAAGCTGAGGTGCTCATCTGATTCAGAGATGCTAAGGAGGTTTCATCTCAGTTACTTTTTGTTGCATATGGCGTAGGCATCTGGGCTATAACCTGCCTGCCCCCAACTCCATTTACAGTCAATGAAGTGAAACTGGCACTGTAAGGATTAATACTTCTGCAAATGTCTACTTCTAGGCAAAAAGAATTGTGTCCTGGCAGTGCTAACTGATCTCCACTGACTACATAGACAGTCTAGAGGACTACTTCAGACATTAACATTTAGATCTGTCTAATGAATTCCACTACTACGGCCAGATTCAAAAAATCATTAAGACAAAAAATACACTTATGGACTTCACAGAACTTTGGATCATGTCTTCCTAGGAAAGATAATAATGAGCAAGAAGGTCTGAAACTAAAAATCACTTTTCCAAGTTTTTTACAGACTTGAATTTGTTATGAATAATCTTGTTCTCCAGAAAGTTTTCAAAGTGATCCCTCACTTCATGTAAGCATAGAATGCAAGGTATAAAAGACATGGCATGAAAAAAGAAATGCAAGCCAGAACACTTTCCTTATTTAAAATGGGAGTTGATTCATATTAGAACTGTGGAATTAGATCATAGGATGACTTTTGTTCATCAAATGAGCTGAAAGAAACTGTGTCCCGTCGACAAAAGCAGAGAAGTCCTAGGTTAGAAAGTACAGAACTTTGTGATGGATCTAGGCAACACATATCAAAAATAACTAAGAACACAACAGTTGATTATAAAATTAAATGCAAATCATATTCAAATATACCAAAGTAGCATGGTGTTTGGCTTGTCTTGCTAAAGAAAATACTGCACATTTTGTCTGAAGTAAGTCACTAGATTTTTCAGAAGTTATCACTGTATAATAATTTTCAGCATTTCCTTAGGAACTTTGCTGTAGAACCAAGGTGTAATGAAACAATGACAGATTCTGAAGAGCTATCAAAATAAATATGCATAATACAGATTTGTGTAATTAAATAAGTTCTCAGTGGTACAGTAAATATACAAAGACTACATACCTGCATTGGTTATGGATTCTACCTGGATGAATACTAATATAGGGTGACACAGTTTTATCCACATAGGATCCAAATCCAAGTCGAAAATCAAGAGAAATATTCTCCATCTTTTTAGATAACGCAAATCCAACAGAATTTAGTTTTTCTATATTGTTGTGCATAGAGGCTGAGACATCAACTAAATAATAAAGATCCACAGGGTATTTCTCTAGAGGACGAACTTTTAACATAAAGTTTGCTTCACTTCCTGATTCAAAGGAAACAAATAAGTCTATTTACTATTTTTGAATGGGCAGTCTTAAAAATACATTTATTTTTACAGCAACCTCAGCACAAAGTTGTTTGTGTCAGCAAACAGAAAAGCAAACAAACAAGAAAACCTCACAAGAGTAAATGAAACCTTGAAATATCATTCAAAAATAAGCCATAAAGGAGCTCTCTGTAGAACACCTTGAATTTTTTTTTCCTTGCAGGAGCACTGTGCAATTTATTGTAAAAATCTCACTTCTCCCTATTTTCTTTTTAATTCCTGATTATGCAATCCCTTTGGCATTACACCAAAAAGCAGTAATGACTCTCAAAGGACTCAGATCTGGATACAAATTGTGGTTACTCACTTCAAGGTAGACACTTCTAAGTATCCTACAAATAGTTTGTCATATGAGTCTAAAACATGTATACCATAAAGACAGCACAGCCTGAAAAACTCATGTTAATTATGCTTCAAGTTTATACTAATCTGCTTCCAAAGGTTTGACAAGAAAACTCAGTTAAGATCAAAATATTTTTTTTAAAGAAACAGGTTTTAGTATTAAAAAAATACATCTTTTGGCATACACAAAACAGAACTCTTATTTCAAAATAAAAAATATCTGTCTCTCCTGCAGAACTATATCATGTTCCCACATATAATAAAAATGTTAATGCTCTGGAAGCCACTAAAAATAGTTCCCATGTTTTTGCTTGTCTAGTATTCTGTAATGTCTGACTTTATACAATATGACTTAGCTATTCATGACATTTACTAGTGCATAAGACGTTGCTAGGTAGCATAATTAAAGTACATGTAACAAAGATCTGGCCCCAAAAAGTTAAAACATGCAAACTACTTTCTTTCAGTGGTCTTTGAGCAGAATCCACATGAAAATGTCAGGATTTGTCAGGTCTGGTATGAAGAAAACAGAATTTCAGCGTGCTGTAACTTACGTGTTTCCTTTTTGCCAGTGTAAATTGAATTACTTTTTGTAAATGACCCTTGCAGGTCTCCAGTTTGCACATAGTGAGCTGCTGAGTGCAGCTTTTATTTTTTCCCACGTAAACCCTGACAGTAGGGTATATATAAACAATGACAAAAAACCCCAGTATCAAAATAAAAACATCGTTGCCTGCATGATTATACTGTATCAAATTTCTGTTTTAGGCACAACTATGGCTGTATATCTGTGTATTTCCCTGGGGAATAAAATACGAGCAGGATGTCCATGTACCAAAAGTTACTCTTCTGCAGCCCTTGGAATTTTAGTCTTTTGCCTCCCTAATTCAAGAACTTCCACAAAGCATATGGAACCCCAAACTTAATTTCACCATTTACTGGCAAAAAGGTTCATTAAACCAAAGCTTAGAAAGCTACATTTTTTCTATTAATCCAGTATTCTTTTGGAAGTAAATGTGATTACAGACACTTGTAGAGCTAGGTCAGTTCCTGAGACTGTTTCTCAGTACAAAGCAGAGTATCAGTCACTTCTTTGGAAGGAGAGAGAGAGGGGGGGAAAGGAGAGAAAGTGCTGATGTTACTTTCTCAGTTTTATTATTATAAAGATGGAAACCCAGAATTCCTTTGTGCTTTACACTCATGCAGATCCTTCCTTTTTCTTCTGTAATTGACAGAAAATTTTCTTTTATACACTGAAGATCAGCAAGATACTTTTCCTACTCACTTAATGTTTTTCTACCAAAGACTGATCTCTCTTAAATGACATATTTCTTTCTTCAAATATATTTTGCAAAATAAATAAATGAATTAAATTTTAATATATGTAACATATCCCACATCCCTTTATATAAACTTCCACTTCTGCTGTTGGCTAAAACTACTTTAGAGACAGAAACATACACTGATTTAGCTAGAGTTCAGTTGAGGGCAAACAGAGATATACTAGAAAATCTCAGATCTATAAAAGGACTTGTAGATTTTATTACGGCCAGGAGTCTCACATTTTATATATGAAATGTTAGGCAGTGACTACCCAAGTTTCCTTTAGGAATCCAGTCCTTTCTTATACACTGGCTTCGATGCCTTCATAGTTGTCTAGTCAATGCACTTAAAAGTAACCAAATAATCAAACAATGAATTTAGGAACTCCAGCCCAATTTACATTCAGTAAAGAATACAGTTTATATGCAATTTGTGTAAGTGACTAAAGAAAAAGAACCGAGAAACCACACTAGAACACAGAAAAAACTACCTAAAATCCCTTTTCTGCTTATTACTTGCTTTATCCTGTCCTTCTTCTGTGTTTGACAGAAGCACTTCTTGCTGAAGATCGTACTTGGATATGGGAGCAACATCATCACAGTCCTACAACATAGCATCATTCTTCAAACTAATTATTCCAACCACTTTGTCACAATCTGTGCTTAACTTAAATTGACTATAATATCAATGTGTTAGAGACAACCCAACCTGGACGCAGTTGGACTGAAACTTTTCCTGGTGTCACTTGTGTATTTATTTCATGGTCACTGGGTATTGTGACATGAACTGTGGGATTTTCTATAAAATCTGATTGGCAGCCTCTTTTCAGTAAGTTGAAAACAGTGTCACAGCGTCCTTTCTGTGTTGCGTCCGCCATGAAATCCTGTTTTATAAGAGACAAAAAGTACAAAACAATCTGAGTGGAAAAAAAATCAACTGTAATATGTTCAAAGGAAAGAGAAAAACAAAATTATAGTCCTTGAAACAATAAAATATGTTACTATAATTGCATAAATTGTAGAATAAGTTCATGGAAGCCATATGTTTTTAATAAGGGTAATGACAATATATTTAAAGTGAAACCTAATTGCCACAATGCCTTTTTTTCTACAAAGGACAAAACTTTTGTATGAGAAAGAGGATCTTGCACAATCAGAACAAGCTGACTTTGAAGAAAAAGGAAATTATGTCCTGTCACTATGTCACTAAAAAAATTTCTGTGCTATGCTATGAGTTAGTTATACCAAGAAAGTGTCATTCACATGAAATCAAAACAAGTTAGTTTTCAGAGGAATCCACTAGAGATGTTATTCAGGCTAATATTTAAAAGGAGCAGCAGCAGATCAGCTTTAGATTTATTTAACCTGAATTTTTCTATCACAGATGCTTAAGTTTTACCCCATACCCTACATCAAATCCAAAGTCCATCTGGACTATATCATTTTAGTCCCTAGAAAGAGGAAGCTATGTAGTACAAGACTAGACAGTTTAAGAGGCCACTAACATAAAAAGTCCCTGTAACAACAGAAAAATGATTAGTAGTAGGATGATATCAGAAGCAGCACATCCTTTGTTGCCGTGAAAAGACAAAGTTGCCAAAATTGTGCCAACGTGATCCAATGCAAAATTCCTTCCTGACCACGAATCTGATGATTAGCATGATCCTGATCATGCATGGAAAAAAAAGACAAGATCCTTTGTACTCTTTCAAAGCATTGGTCCATCCCAGCCACAGCTGGAGACCAAACAATGGACAATGTATGGTGTTTCAGAGGCAAATGGGGAAAGTAAACAATCAAAAAGTGCATACAGCCAACTGTGTATTAGAGAATAGTAATTCAGACCCTGAGAAGACCAGAGAAACCCCCTGAAGAAGGAGACTCAGCAGTCATGCATCTTGTTTTCCAAGTTCCAACTCAGTTTTGTAGTCTAACTCTGATATATTTTTCCCATAATCTTTAATGTAGACAAGAGAAAAAACTTTTTTAGGTTACTACTATTTATATACCCTTTTTGATGTATATATATTTCAAAAAGGTAGATTTTTAAATGTATAAAGAACTTAGCTTATTGTTATCACTAACAACTGATAGATATGTAGCATTTTCTGAAGTTTGCTGTAAGGGGGTATGAAGTCAAAGCATCTTAAGTGTTCCTCAGGGATGATTTTCTCCTTTAAAAAGTTGTTTAGAAGAAGAAGGCATGCTAAGCTTAAAACTGCTCCTCAGACTTTGCTCTGGAAAATTTTGACCTGCATTAATATGGGTTTTGCCTTTCCACAACCATGGACGGGTGCATAGGTGAATGAGCTACCAAAGCACCATCTAAGAGGGCTTGACAAACCCCTGGCTTCCATGAACAGCTCTCAGGATTGACATGAGAACAGAAGCAAGAGAAGCAGGGCAGAAGTGAAACCTGGTCAAATCTGAGTACCTCATTAGAAAGAGACCTACTGCAGCTCCAGAGCACTGAAAAGCTGATGTAGCAGATTAAAATTGTGCCCTTTGTGAGACAGGACATCAGGCCACAGTAATGGACAGCCCCACATCGTGATCCATTGTGCCATCTACGCGTGCCCTAAGGCTCCTCTTGGAATACAAGGCCTCCATTGCCTCTACTGCATTACTTTTCCTTATACTTGTTCCAGACTAAGTTAATCATTTCAAGATACAGTATCTTGGATAAAGTTACACCAATGCCTTACACTCCTTATCTCTTCCAGGGACACCTTAGGAATTTATCTACCTTCTCTGCTAATGAAAGATACTACAGATAATTTGCATGTGACCTTCAAGACCATATGCATTTGTAATTGCCGGTGATATTGTTAAAAACTTTGCTTCCCTGAAGAGCTTAAAATGGTCCAGCTTAGTCAAAATCATGTAATCAACTGGTTTTTTTCTGCCAAACAAAACCAGAAATCCCCATATTCTTACAGTTTGCAAACCAATAACAATTTCAGAATAATTCTTGCTACTTAAGATCTACCTTTTGTGATAAGGCTCAGAAATAATAATTTCAAGTGTCAAAATAAGAAAAGTATCATTTTTTCCATTTGTGACAGGGTCATAATATATGGAGAAGTCAAAGTTAACTCCACTGTTAGTAAAACCTTTTGCTAAATGCAACAGGCATAGATGTATAGACCTGCTCTGATATATAATGACATAATATAAATTACTGATAAGTAATGGTTTTGAAGCCAAAAACTGTTGAACTCTCAAAGTTACTCTAAGTCTGCCAAAGCTGTCTACATAGCAGATGGAACGCTTTAAAAAGTTCTCACTTTATTTAAAATTATTGCAATTTTCCAAATAAAAGACTGTATTTTCTCCTTTGGAAACAAAATAGATTTCACATGAATTCTCAGGTTCTGTCTCCAGAGATCATTTAAAGATTTTCTTTCTATTTCTCACCATAATTTTCACAGTTTAAAAGTCTTTTATCTTTATAAAGATCAGAAGCAGCTAAAACATAAAGTCAAAAGTAAATAAGCAAAATGCCGTACCTCTTGAGCACACCATCCACACTCTGGACCCAAAGCAAGACACTTTGCACATGTTACTGCATTTGAAGTGGCACATCTGTTTTCCGCTGCAATGAAATATAAAACCAAATATTAATGATTTATGATGATACGTGACAATTGTAAAATACCTAATTTTAAACCAAGATTTCAAAAATTACTTCACCAGTTTAACAGTGATGACAACGTGTCCAAACAGAAGTAAAACAGAACAAAAGCAGCGCAGTGAGAGAATACTTGCAGCATTTTTTTTTCATCTATGTATGTAAGAACTGTATGTACAGATTGAATAAACTCCATTCTCAATGCCAAATTTCTAAGATCCTGATTTGGAATAATTTTGAAGTGAAAGTTTATCTTTGGCATATACCTTGCTGATTTATTGGCCAACAGAAAAAATATGCCAGGTAGCTTATCTCTTCATAGACATGTTCTTTTTAAGTCATTCACACTTGACTGAAGTATTCATTATTCACTCTGTATGGAACCCAAAATATTTTCTCACCTTCTAGAAATATTTCCCCTCTGCATTTTCTGGAATGAATAGTTTCCCAGAAGAGGCATATTTTTTTTCAGAAGCAAATAAAAATTTATCCAACATTACGTATGTCACAGATTGAAGACACATCATTCTGTACTAACAACTGCAAAAACTGTGCCTCCTAACAGATCTATCAGCAAGGCCATTTATACCCTTTTCACAGCTTTTTTTTACAGGTCACTGTTTAAATTACTACTCTTTGCCATGAAACTTTGGCAGTCAGAATCGAGAAGAAGAGATAGCCTTTTCCAAGGGACTTGGTCAGTTCAACTTGAATGTCAGCATGAGCTTTTCAGCATTCCAGCCTTTCAGCACATTCAGCACCAGGTGCTTGCAGACCAGTGTGCACCTACATGAGGCAGAATTCAACTGCCAAGAGCTATGAGGAAGGCAGATAAAATGACTCTTCAGTACACAGCACCATAGTAGTGCTGTTTAACAACACTGCTTAGTGGCATATTATATGATTGCAAAATATACTGGAAACTAAATAACATGAATTACTGCATACTGGAAAGGCTACATCTCTTTATTGGTGCATCACAATAACGTGCAGATCATGATATCAAAACAGTTTGAAGAAAGGTATGCTTTTCATCCAAAGTTTTAGCTACACGTAGTGTCTCTCAGATTATTTCTTTCCAACATGCAGCAATGCAAACCATTTCTTTAGAATAATGAGAGCAACTTCTCCCAGTGAAAAGCTGTATTAGGAAAACGTGTACTAAAATATCTTTTTTATCTTTATTTAACAGATTTCAGCTATGGAGTCAAAGATGAGATCCCATATCACATGAACAGCTAGTCCTCAATAGGTCACTTTGAATAACTGATGACCCAAGGAACTAATCACAGCTTGCGTTACTAGTATCAACAACTTATATACCATTATCAATATTAACAAGCTAGAAAGGCCTAGTAGAGCACAATTGCAGCATTATTCTGATAACACATAAGTTAGTGGCATTTTCATTAATTTCAAAGGTCAGATCTATATTTCCATTTCATATAAACTGCTGTTGACAATTTTTGTTATGCAGGCAATGTGAGAAAAGAAATGTATATGAAAGGGAGAGAAACTCTTACAGATAGGATAGAAACAATAAGCTGAAAAGCAGCCCAGGAAGATGCTGGAACAGAGGGAAAACTGGTTAAAGGGTGGGGGAGGTGGGCAGGGATAAATAAAGGAGGAGTCGCTAAGGAGAGAGAAAAGAACAAGACAAAATCCAAAAGCTTTTTGTTTGTTATAAAAACAAACACAGCAAGTTTGACTTGGATGCGAAATGACAGCAAGCTCATTCGGCACTGACACAATAAAACTTTGCATTTTTAAGAAGACGGCAACAGCACTTTATGTTCTGGATTCTGAAAGACCAGACTTGTAGGCCACAGAAAAAGTTACTGTGAACCGCAGGAGAGATGAACAAAGGTGAGGATCCCAGGTAGGTGCTGACATGCACAGGGTTGTAGAGCTTGCTGCATATCTCTTTGTAGACAGCAGTGGTAAAGTGCAAAGACACAGAATGAAAAGTTGTTGAAGGAGTGAAAATATAAGGAATGTAATTGTTCTTGGCACAGAAACATCACTCCCATCTTCAAGCGGATACCAAAGACAGCAGAGATGAAAGACATTACAAGAAAAAGAGAGTAAAATGAAGGATTCAGCAGAGGTGTCAAAGGAAAAGGAAAGTTAAGAACTGCTGATGTGCAGCAAAACAGTGGGTAAAGACCATGGGGCAAAGCAGGATGACACAAACTTTGAAGTTACCAATCAAGTAACATCCACCACAAGAGACAGAGCTGTTCTGATAACCATTAACAGGAAGAAATGAGAGACCTGTGTATCTAGCTAAACAGGTAAGGAATAAGCGAAATTAATTCCTGGTCATGGTAATCAGTAAACTAAAGCAAATTAAATAATGAGTTTGGCCTAATTAATTTTCTGTAGTGATTTTTGAGACTCCTTCCTTAAAATGTATAATTCTGTCTGCATAACACACATTTCCCAAAATTAAATGCTACCGACCATGTAACAAAACACTCATGTCATCTGCACTTGCTAAAAAATAATTATGCATCTATGAATGGAACAACTGTACTATGTTTCCAGATGCATTGGAAAACTGGCTGAAAAGTAATTGTCCCGTTTCTGTGTGTTTAGTTTATTGAATCTACTGAACCTTGATTTAGTGTATTAATACAGCCTGTCTCGTAAAATATAGAGGTTGTGAGTGTCTTTCTAAACCGCTTAGACAGAAGAAAAGATCTTAAAATCCAGTTTGGGTTTTCAATGTGATCATGGCAGATGAAATGCTTTAACAAATGAGATCTACAGTATTGGTAGATGCAAATCTCTTTGCTGATAACTCTCCAGTCTCAAGAGCTGCATTTTCAAAACATGAAGTCACAGATTGGCTATTGACAACCTTGGTACCATTGGCTCAAAGAGCTAATTTTTTTTGGACTAAAGAGAAACTTGGAAAAGGTTTATTAATGCCCAAGACACATTCTGGCTATATCACTACTGCAGTTCCCAAGCACATTGACCCTTATAGCAGTAACATTTATGGACATGCTTTCATTCACCAAATATTTATTTGGTTATAAGCCTACACTAATACCATTACTGATTTAGGATCTCAGTTTCTTTTAAAAATCATATGCTAAAGCAAGAAACATTATTCTTATGAGTTGGCTGAAAAAAATAACTGAGATTTTTCCTGCCACTTCACCAAAAACAGAGTCCAGACAAGACTGAGTTACTGTACAGCCAAAGCTAAAGGCAAGTTTCTACTGGCTTAGCTATAACTGATGTATGCCAAAAGGTATTTTCAGCAAGGGCCAAATTTTGTGCTGGGAGCTGCACAGGCATATGCATATAATATAAATTGAGTACAGCAGGTTAAACTGCACTTTTCCAGCCTCCTCCACAAAATACAACTGTGCTCCAATGACTGCAGCTATTTACAGTGATCACAGGTATGGCAAGCCCAAACTCTCAGCAGCAAGAGGGATCAAGACAAGACAAGCATCATATATATTATAACTATATCCTGCCTCCCTAATACGAAAATAACTTTATCATGCTCAGGTTATTTATCTCAGAGATGGAATAACAATAAAGCACACTGGCATCTGAGAGGGGATGTTAAACAGGTTTTCAAAACCGAAAGCACTTTGTTCAAGAAGAGCCAAGATTTCGGATTTATATCAACTTCACTGTTGGTACACATTTATGCTGGTTTTGGAGGGTGTACCATTTGCTTTTTTATAAGAGAAAACCAAACATAACTGGCAGCTTATACTCTCTGATAATGGTCCTCAGACTGTTGAAGGCTAGTTAAGGCAAGAAGATAGGAAATTATCTAGCTACAGAGCTCACTTCTTTAAAATCTGTATCCAATCTTGTTCTAGGGTAGCAATCAGCCAGGCTGTCCCTCTCCAAAAATAACATGGCCTTCAAGAACTTGCATGTAGTATCACTTCTGAGGAAAGCAGTCACTTTTATACAGGGTACTGCAGTTATCTTCACCTTTCTGTCTTTCTTCAGGAGCTAAACGGGACTCCTGCAAAGGGGACAGGCAGTAATCATCCCAGCTAACGCACAGCTTCTCAGTTCACTTAGGCTCCATGTGCAGATACAATGAAAAGCATTGTAAAAATGTTTCAGAGGGGGATTTTTTCCCATGGTTATTGTGTCTGACACTTACTTGCTCCAATTACAAGGAAAGAAATGAGTGCTGGTGCTTTAACTGCTAATCCTAAAAAGAAATTCTGGAATTAGGATTTCCTCCCACTTTTCGCAAACAAGCAATAGTTCTCTCTACCCTTTGCGCACAATGTCATGCTTTAAAAACATGCTTTGTCACCAGTTTTTCCAAGAGGGTTACAAGTTATTCCTCAGAATCAGCTTTAAGAGGTCCTTACCTTTGCCCAGAAAAGGAGATTTCGACCTGAAAACTGTACATCTATTATGCTTTATAATAAGTTCCTAAGAGTACTTCAGCAAAAATACCAGGCAACTTTTCTTCTCTCTCCCTTTTTTAAAATTACATACTGGATTTGTTAATTGGTTTCACTTTTCTATTAACGGTTGTGCACTTTACTTTCACTATTCAGTCAGGAGCTAAGCTGCACACAGATTTGAAAACATACTTTACCAGCAAGAGAAGCAGCAGTAAACTAAAAAGTCAGCATGTAACAGACATACGTGTTTGCTAAGAAAAAAAAAGATATGTAAAAGAAAGGTGCAGAACATGTTTGGCACTGTTAAACATCCTAGACCTTCTTTTTCTACTAGTTATTAAAAAAATAAATAAAAACCCCCCAAGTGTTACAGTGTTCCTAGAAAGAAAAATGGAGAACACTGGAAAAGATAAACCATAATGCGGCTACAGAAAAGATGAGAGTTATAAATGAGACACAAATAAGAAGTATATATATACATGCACACTGGGATAAATGTAATGAAAAGCATCACTAGGGAACAAGTCCTGATGACTGATACGGGCTCCCATTCCTAACACT